TTATATAATTTTAGTGATATAGTCTACAGAGCTCCTATTTATTCACTTTACTGAGATCCAAAACAGAAAAGCAGCAACTCGTCACACTGGAGAAGCTGGAATTATTACAGACTTTTTCTTCAGCGGTCTAAACTGAAGCCACTTTTCCAAAGCTCTTCCTACAGTCTGCATCACCAACATGCATCTGGGCCAAACAGTTCATCTCAGTATCCCAATCAGGTTTATTGCCAGCTACATTTTCACATACGAGCAATTTGATTGTGATTTCTGCATTATATTCTGTTCTAGTTTTAGATTTGAATCCTCACCTGCGACCTATATTTAGGGTTTCCCTTCATAGAAATAAAGACATTTCCAGCTGATGTTGGTGCAGCACAAAGTGACGCAACAACAGGAAGTGTTATATATAGAAATAAACTCCTGAAGTATTTTTCACAGTAATCAGTATTTCATTCCATATTAATAAAAACAGATTTCACTTTATTGACTATTCGGCCAGACGCCACAGTCTAAAATGATGATTTAGCTTCAATCTGTCAGTTTTCAGATTTCAAGTTATTTTGCAGCTGTTATTTCCAGACTTTCATAAAATGTACAAAACAACCTTGAATGATGTTTTTAAACATTATTATTTGTCCGTCCGTCAGCTGCAGCACTTTTCAAGTAAAAGTTCAAGCTGTCTTTTTAAAACTCTGCAAACTGAATCAGATATGGTTTGAAAGTTTGTTTTCTAGAGCACAATGTTGACTAGTTCATTTATCAGATATCTAGAAGAGATGTGTTCATGTGACAAACTGGAATATGTTTCTAATGTGTGTTAGCTAATCTTTAAAGCCTGTTACACTGGGCTCTCGTCTAACAGCTTTTCTCACTTGCTAACATGCATCGATCCAAACTCTCCCCCACAGTCAGAGAAACAGAAGTGTGTGTGGATCAAACTGTCAATCACTTTTATTGCTAATTGCTGCACACATTCAATGAGCACTTTCACCAAAATCAGGAACTCTTTTCTTTCCTGCTCCACCTCCTGCAGAACTCTTTATATTAATCAAAACAGCATTTCTGCACCAAACAATCTGAAATCTCTAGAAGAGCTCAGCAGAATATTGACTTCAATGCGTCTGTGTAGAGAACTGTGTGCAGTGTTTTGAACAAAGAGCTGCAGTCTGAGTGGAAAGCAGGAAATGTGCTTTCATTTGAGCAGATTTGCTTCAGAGGGTTGGAACATGAATTACAGATGATACTGCAGCACTGAACTTTAGGAACTAGACTTTAGTTTGAACTTTTTCTTTTTCCAAAGTAAATGACTGTACGGAATGATAAAGAAACAAGTCCTTCCTTTTTCCACTTCAAAGATGAAAGTTCATCATTTCTGTAGAATGCTCCTTGTAATCAGTGTTTTTAGCTCAGTGTGTTATCAGTGACAGTGTTTGCTTTCTGACTGAGAGTTGTTGCCTGTGTTTGGTCCAACCAGTTTATTTTGAGACATGTATGAAGTGTTTTGGTGGTTTTAGTGAGTGTTGGAGGTGAGATTAACTGTTTGGCCCAGATGCATGCTGCATCATATTAGAATCTATTACGATCTCTGAGTTGTACTCTGATCTGTGGAGCCAGTGAGTTCTTGTAAACGTTCTTGTGAGACTCGACCTTGTCAGATTCCCAGAGAACACTGATATCTGGCAGCCTGACGCCTGAGCTGCTGTCTCTAGCTGATCAGTCTAACTGTTGTCTCCCTAACAAGGACAGTTACATGAGAGAAAGAACTAGAGCTGGAAGGTCAGTGAACACTTGAGGGCTCAGATAACGACTCCAAGCTACACCTGTCTTACCCAAATATATATTAGACATATTACATATGGAAGTCTCTTTGGATAAAAGCGTCAGCTAAATGATTCATTTTGGGAGGAAAAACATCAAACTTTCATCAGCAGATGCTTTTGTCCTGGTCTCTCTTATTTAAGCACAACTTCTCTCCACACAGATATTAGATTTGCAATAAGAAGGACATTCTCTTTAAGAACAATATTTTACTTGTCGGTCAGCTGTTTGATACTAATGGCAGGCTGTAGAGCTACTCAGACTTTTTGATGACGAATCAAATTCCCATATCAGTTAAAGAGTATGCGATTGTTTTTGATGCCGTTCCTTCAGGAGGCAGGATGCTGCTGGACGCATTAACTTCCTGTGGCCACACTATCACACTATCACTTTATTTGACACTGCTGCAAGCAACAGGTCAATTCAAAACTAATACGAGATTTATTCCAAAAAGGTGTTGTTACTATTCCTTCCATAACATCGTGTTAGAATAGTATAATAGAGAGTGTGTCTTGGGATAAAGTGTGGTTATTACCCTTTAAATATTTGCTCACTAAGAAAGTGAGAGAAGTTTTGTGTAAAGTGATTCAGTGGTTCTATCCAGCGAAATCTTTCTTTAAAGATATAAACAGAATATTCAAACTGAGTGTTCTCTCTGTGAAAATGCAGAGGAAAATGTTTCCCATTTATTTTGGAACTGTTCTCATACTGAGAGTTTCTTTGTGTTTAAAGGATGTTTTCTTTGGTGTTTTTGATTTCAGGGAGGAGAAGAAAGGACTATATTTCATAACAAATCTGTTATTCTTTCTTGCCAATTACCATATCCACAAAATGTTATATTCAGCTCTTATGATTTATGGATGTGACTGATGTTGGAACTCAAGAACAGAAGTTGGTACTTTAACCTGGACTTTTTCATCAGAAAGCCTAAATGAATCTCTTAAAGTATGTATTTGTATATTTTTTGTACCCTGGAGAATGAAATGTTGTATATGCTATAACTATAGAAAATCGCCGGGACCGATTGGCATAAAGTTTCTCTTCCTCTTTTAAACCACAGGTCAGCTGAAAGTCACAAGTTAAACTGAAACTTAATTTTAATCTTGGGTATTAAAAAGTGGATTTAACTTTGCTCGTACTTCTCAACCTGTCTGCTGCAGAGAGCCACAGAAACAGGAGACTGCTTGGAGAAAAGAAAGAGAGGAAGCTGAACTTCCGGGTAAGTTCACTAAACATGTGTCTGTTAACGTTACTTGAGTCCAGCTATCGTTGTACTTGGCATCATTTTGATCCGTTTATTACAATTTAACCACAGCAACATGTTTATTTTGGGTCCATCCCGCTGTAGGAAACCAGATTAAAGCCCAATATTTGCTGATTGTGTTTACTCGCTTTAAAAGAGCTGCCGTTAATACTAAAGATTTAATAAGCCACCAAAAAAAAAACCCACCTACAGTGCGACCAGTTTAGTCATATACCTTTTAAAATGGATCCAGCAAACTGGAAAAATATTTAAGAGGCTAAAGGTTAGCCCTGGCCCAGCAGAGTTCAGAGTTCTCTCATACAAAGGCTGCAGTAAAGCAACACACACTGGAGAATACTTTTAAAAGGAGACAGAAACTTAATTTAATGTAGTGCACTGTTCAACTGTACTAGGAAATTACAAGTATCTCTCAGCAGATATAAATTACTCGATTGGGATCCGGGACAAAAATACATGATCAGGACCTCCCTACAAAAAAGGCTTCAAGTCCAAATTCTTTCATCACTTCTCTCTGAAGTCCCTGCATCTGCTCTTCTTCTCTGAAAATGGCAAATGTTGCATTTTCCCCGACCTGCTTGGAGCCTGATCATTTCTGCCTGCAGCTATATTGTTATAATTTTTTATAGTATATAAAGAAATAATATAATAACAGGCTATAATTTTACCTGCTAACAAATCCCATTATTCTGTTGAACCTTAGCTCTCTAACGTCTCTGTGTAACGGTACAAAAAGCTCTTTCAGACATGTTGCTGTCACAACGCCACACTTTATTTAAACTTCACAAAGAACTTGGAGTATTGATATGCAAGTGTAATACGGTCAGAAACTGGGACTACTTCATTTCAGTTCTGAGCCCGGCTTCCTCTTCATTCTTATCCAACTTTCTCAACAATAACACATCTGAGCCCGTCGCTCCTAGCCAACCTGTGCTACTTGTGACCTGACTCAGGGGGGTGTTCACAATGCTGCTGCAACATAATGTTAAAATAATTTTCCAGGATATTTGACTTTTTCTCTTAATTTCCACGAGTTTTCCATGACTGGATAATTGGTCAGTTGTTTTCCAGGACGTGTGGGAACCCTGAATGAGCAGTAATCTCGTACAATATAAAAAGTAAAAACAGAACACAGATTTCTGTTTACTTACGCTTTATTGTATTAAATATGTACAAACATTGAATGTCAACATTTAGGCTTCTGAAAACTCCCCCACATTACCTGCGCCCACATCGTTAAAGGTGAGGCGCTACATGACTTGTGTGATACAAGAGAGCCACTAACCTGAAAAAACACACTCATATTAAAATTAATTTCAATATTCCTACCAAATTATATGCTTATAATATTCAGCCTCACTTAAAAAAATGAAACCCATTTATTTTAACGGCTGTGAAATATAAAAAACATTAAATATTTCTAAGCGGTGAGTAGGCTTACTGTCACATCTTAAAAACCTACAACTAGCCTACAAGGCTTTTGTTCCTTATAATTATGAAGAACAAAAAATAACACTAGTATAAATAAATGCAGAAATAAATCATATATAAATACATTTTGGTAGTAAAGGCTATTTCTTTATTTTTACATTCACTTATTTATTTATACTTGTAGTTTTTTTCCTTTTATAGCAGTGGATACAACGCACTGAAAAGCAGCTTGTCCATGGACTTTGAATTACATATTATTATTGTCTAATTATAAATATAATAAATATAATAAATAAAGCAGTCGGTGGGGACTTGCCCGACCCTGACCTCTGACCTCTCAGCAGTTTTCAGTCCCAGCAGTAGATATTGTACTTGTATTACAGAAGCAGTATTTGTAGTAGTAGCACTATTAGAAGTGACAATAATTACAAACTGTAAAGTCTTCACAGGGACAAACGAGTAAAAAGGCCTTTAAAGAAAAGTGTTTGGAAGCCAAAGTCTTTTTGAAGAAGAGCTTTAATAGCAGACACCATCTGTGGCAGCCTGAGGTTCTGGAGGTTCTGGTCCCCCTTTGTTAGGAACCAGGACTGAGGAACAGAGTGAAGGGCCCCGCCCGGGGATCTCAAGCTTCATTCTGCCTCATTACAAACCAACGCGTCCAAAATCTAGTAGTGAACCAACTGATCCACACTGCTGCTTCATGACATCTTCCAGTGCTGAGCTGATCTTTAGTTCATCAGATGGTTAGTTAGCTCCATCTAGTGGACAGGTAGCAGAACTACATCAGACACCAGGACTAACGAGGAAGAAATTAGCAGCTTCTTCTCTCCCAGTGTTTCCTCCACACATGAAGAAGTGTCTGTTAGTTCAGCAGGTGAGAATCCGACCAGAAGCATCTGTAATGTCTGATAACCAGGATCAGGATTTAAACAATGATGTTTGGGTGTACTGTAACGAATCTTGACAGTCTAATACATCTGATATATTTTGTGGTCAACATACTGAACTTCTGGGTGAATCTGGGGGCTGTGTAACACATTTTGGGGTCATCAGATCCTGTTTAGGGCTCCAACAAGGTTTCTGTCGACCCTGAATATTTGTGTCATGTTACTGAGAGGAAGGAGAACTAAAGTGTCCTGAGATGTAAAGCTTGTTGTAATGAATGAGTGCAGCTCTCTCAGCATGTTGTTGTGTTTGTGTGAAGGTGTGGGCTCTGCTATGAATCAGTGTGAGGACAGAGAGGAGGGAGTCCCTCCCTCTAAAAGCACTCTGTGTGGGGAACATGACAGCCAGACCAAAGCTCAGAGGTGAGATGAGGATCTCTAACTGTCCAGGACTCAAATCACTCCACCATCATTATTCACTCTCAAAGCTCTGTGTGTGTTGTGTTGAAGCCCAGAGCAGCAGCAGGGACCAGACTCTGCTGGACCTGGACCTGGACCTGGACCTGGACCTGGACCCAGCTGCGTGTCCATCAAGAGTGACCGGTCTATGGACAAACTTATTGTCTTCAAAGGTGGACACCCCTCTGCTGATCAAAGGTCAGCATGTTAAATGTTTGTGTCTCTCCTGAGATGAGGTTTGGTGTCTTTGTTTTGATCACTTCATGTTCTTAACTCTTCACTTTTTTCAAACTGGTCTCACATTTTGCAGATCTTAGTCCAAATATCAAAACCACAGTTAAAATCCACAAACAGCTGGATGCAGGTTTGAGAATGTGTAAGAACATTGAAAGTGGATGATAAATTAGCTCCTTCATGTAGTTTTTCAAATCAGGATCCACATTCACAAATCTGAGATCACAAAATAAAATCTGGGAACATTTAAACACGAGTTTCCTCATTTCATTAGAACTCACAGGAAGGGTTAACAGCCCAACCTGCATCTTTTATGAGGGCTGTGATTAAGTTTCTTACTACAGGATTATGTAAATACACTCAGTGTGATCACGTCGTCAAACAGAAACACACTGTTCAGGATTCAAATTAAAGTATGCTAGTTTGTTCTGTTTGCTTGTGACTGAAGAAGGTAAATCATATTCTTTAAATAACTGCTTTGGATTCTCTGCAGTCAGGTAATTTATTCAGCATAAAGTGCAGATGATAAGAAATAGTTTGAGTTCTACCCTTCAAAGTTGTTAATAGGAAAAATGAAGTTGGTAAAGTAGAACCACCAGAGCTTTATGATCTTGAGATAAGCATTTATACTGTTAATGTTTGACTCCAGTTTCTCAGTCCAAAGTTCAGAGCTGCTCTGTGTTCACATTAAAAAACACTTCAGTTTGAAGATGAATCCAGAGAGACTGCATGTGAATTTACAGACCTTTGAAAACCTGCTGTGAGTCACATTTGTTCTTTCTCTGGTTGGTTTCCTGGTTGAAGCTGCTGATTAATTTCACCTTCGGTCGACGACTTCATGCAGATTATTTTTATCATCAAAAGGTAACTTAATCATTTTCTGCCATTTTGTTGTTGTAGTATCAGTTTTACACTCTTCTGAACAGTAGAGGTGGCAGTGAGGAGTTCATCTGGGTTTTTATCTGGCCACTCAGTATATTCTGTCAGTCCCAATTTAAGAGGCAATAATGTGAAATGTAAAAGTGACGTCTTTACCTCCCACTGTCTCCTCCAATGGAGGCTAGCTTTACATAGGACATTACGGACTGCTACTGCCATGAAAGGTTCAACGCTGTCTCCATTTATATTTATTCAAATTGCTTTCTCAATTACGTTCTCCTGAAAAATGATGTATGTATATTTGCTCGTATGTTATGTACATACTAATTTGAAACTTAGCAGTTATATTATTTAGTTATAGACTTTTATTATTATTCTATTATTTCATGTTGCACAAGTAGCTGTTGAAGAAAAATGAATACAAAATAATAATTATTACAGAGAGGTTGCGATGGTGCAGTGGATTAGACCCTTGTCTTTGATTCCCACTGGAACACATCCACCAAATAAGTTATTGTCATGGGTCCTGCTTCACCATCCATGTTATATAGAGCCGCCACCTGACCTGATAGCCTATTTAGATTTTTTCCTAGTAAATATATTTGTTTGATAGCGAATTTGTTGCAAACGGGAATAAATATACTGTGTATTATTTTATTAAAAAAAACAATCATCCCAGAAAAAAGCCTTTTGATGTCTATGTGCATGTGCCTGATGCCATGTCACTATATTTCATGTATTTGCTAATTCTATGCTAAAAACTCAGTCCTGTTTCTTTCAGTCCTGTTACTCAAATACACTCTCTTCACCTCCTTGGGACAGTGTCCGGAGGGGATCTTTCAGATTTTTCCTGGGGTCTATTCTAAATCCAGAGTGAAGATACTAATATCATATGAAACTAGATGACCTAATGCATCATTGGTACCGTGCTTTTCTTTGCATTTGGTATAAAAGTGTATTTGAATATTTCTGCATACTGTTAGCCAGGGCTCATTCCTGTTACTAAATTGTTTAGTTTTTTAAAATAAGATACACCACAATTTTTTCTATTATGTTTAGGCCAGTCATTTATCCAATTGTTTAGTAAATTACATGATTTCGGTCTCCTTTAAAACAAAAAAAAGGTGTTGCATTCTTTAGAAAAATACAACTTGCTAGCATATAAAGTACAGTTTTTGTCGCAAATATTCATTTTTTGATCATGTAACCAACAATTGATTTAAAATAAACACTTTCTTTAGGGAAAAATAAAGGAATTATTTGACCTGCTTTTAAACATAGTTTCAAAATGACATATAACACACCACAAACCAGCAGAAACCAGACCCGGTTCAGGTGCTCCACGCAGGCCCGTCTGACCCACCTGCTCGATCTCCGCGGCGTTCCTGATGATGCTGCTGATGGTCTCTGACGACAGTTTGTTCACCAGGTGTTTGAACATCAGACAGGCAAAGTCACAGTGCAGACACTGAACACACCACACAAAGCGTTACTACACAAAGAGCAGCCCCTGAACTCTTACACTTAACACTTAAAGACCATTTCAGTATATTTTAATAATGCTACACATCTTTGAGCTGAAACCAGTTAATTCACTCACACACCTTTTAAAGGGGCGCTGTGGAAAAGGAATTTGAATGTATTCAGCACAGTTTTATTACCTATATGTGAATAGGTTGTTACATCATCATAAACATCTAAACCACCTGCTGCTCTTAACCAATAGCATCTATATGACGCTGACGTACTGCGGTAAGCGTGTCGACTCATTTCCGTTTCCGGTGCTTGTGTGTTGGTACCGTGATGTGCTGCTCTCGCTAAACAGTTAAATTTGTTAGATTACAGCGTCCAACTGTCCGCTAAACACTTATTCTTACAGTAATTTTGCCTAAGCACTCACAGTTCTTTCCATCTTTTAGTGACTGCGGTTCAATCTCATAGTTGTTCTAAAGTTTTGGTAACTGACGTTAGCGACTTTAGCTTAGCAGCTAGCGATGGCTTCTCCTTCTCCCTCTCTCTCTCCTACTTTCTCCTGCTCGGTGTGTCAGATGTTCAGTTACTCCTCTGCCTCCTTTAGCAGTAATGGTACGTGTAATAAGTGTAGTTTATTTATAGACATGGAGGCGAGGCTCAGTGATTTAGAAGTCCGGCTCTGCACCTTGGTAGATCAGTCTTTAGCTACTGTAGCTAGCCTGAGTTAGCCTGTGGTAGCCGTCCTCCGGCATCTCCTGTGCAGCCAGGAAGGGGTGGCTGGGTGACTATCTGAAGGAGGAATAGTCGTAAGCATTCAAAGTCCACGGGGCATCATCAACCTGTTCACGTCTCTAACAGATTTTCCCCACTCAGCGACACACCCGCTGAGAAACCAACTCTGATCATTGGCAGCTCCATTTTGAGAAACGTGAAGTTAGCGAAGCCAGTGGCCATAGTTAAGTGCATCCCTGGGGCCAGAGCGGGCGACATTGAGTCTTATTTGAAACTGCTGGCTAAGGATAAACGTAAATACAGTAAGATTGTTGGAGCCATTCTGTGTATAGCCATGGGTTGGCGCTGTGTGCAGCCACAAGTCTACTTAAGACATTGGGTAATTAGTGCAGGTGTGGCGCACTGCGACGTGCATGGTTTTGTGAGGCACGGCGTGTAATTATGGAGACTGACTTGAGTTAAGTTATTATTGACTAAATGTTTTATTGTTCGTTATGTTAATAAATGGATTGGCATATCCGACGTTAAGTTCAGACTTTTGAAAGTTTATTATTTTATTTTATTATTTTAAGCCACAAGGAAACAGCACGCCTGAAACACGCGTGCAAAACGACTTAAATGTGCGCCAACAAGATTGTTATTCACGTCGGCGGTAATGACTCCCGGTTACGCCAATCGGAGGTCACTAAGATTAATGTTGAGTCGGTGTGTACATATGCAAAAACAATGTCGGACACCGTAGTTTTCTCCTGACCCCTGCCAAATCTGACCAGTGATGACATGTATAGCCGCATGTCGTCATTCCGCTGCTGGTTGTCGAGGTGGTGTCCAGCAAACGATGTGGGCTTTGTAGATCATTGGCAGACTTTCTGGGGAAGACCTGGTCTGATCCGGAGAGACGGCATCCATCCCACTTGGGAAGGAGCAGCTCTCATTTCTAGAAATCTGGCCAAGTTTATTAGTGGACCAAATCCATGACAACCCAGAGTTGAGACCAGGAGGCAGAGTCGCAGTTTAACACACTTCTCTGCTCCTCCATTTCTGGAGTTACTTAGTGAAAATCCTATAGTGACGGTGTCTGTCCCCCGACCATCGAAATTATTTAAATCAAAGGTAAACAGAAGAGGAGCTGTGCATAAAAACCTCTTAAAAATTAAAACCACAAGTGCAATAGTGCAAACGAATAGGAATAGTAAATGTGGACTCTTAAACATCAGATCTCTCTCTTCTAAAGGTGTACTAGTAAATGAACTTTACTACGATTTATCAGATCGATTTCAGTTTGTACATGTTAACGATGAGTCCTCCATGCATGCCAAAGTCAGTCATGGAGTTCCTCAAGGATCTGTCCTCGGACCAATCCTCTTCACTTTATATATGCTTCCCTTAGGCAATATTATCAGGAAATATTCCATCTACTTTCATTGTTATGCAGATGATACTCAGTTATATCTATCGATCAAGCCAGATGAAACTCATCAGTTAGCTAAAATTCAAATGTGCCTTCAGGATGTTAAAACCTGGATGACCTGTAATTTTCTAATGTTAAACTCAGATAAAACTGAAGTTATTGTTCTGGGGCCTAAGCACCTCCGTGACGCATCATCTAAAGATATAGTTTCCCTTGATGGCATCGCCCTGGCCTCCAGCACCACTGTGAGGAATCTTGGAGTTATCTTTGATCAGGACATGTCATTCAAGTCTCACATTAAGCAAATTTCAAGGACTGCGTTTTTTCACCTACGTAATATTGCGAAAATCAGGAACATCCTGTCTAAAAATGATCCAGAAAAACTAGTCCATGCATTTGTTACTTCTAGGCTGGATTACTACAATTCTTTATTATCAGGCTGCTCGAAAAAGTCCATTAAGACTCTTCAGCTGATCCAGAATGCTGCAGCACGTGTTCTGACAGGAACCAGGAAAAGAGATAATATTTCTCCTGTTTTAGCTTCTCTGCATTGGCTTCCAGTAAAATCCAGAATAGAATTTAAAATCATTATTCTTACCTACAAAGCTCTTAATGGTCAGGCACCATCTTATCTTAAAGAGCTCATAGTACCTTACTACCCCACCAGAGCACTGCGCTCCCAGAATGCAGGGTTACTTGTGGTTCCTAGAGTCTCCAAAAGTAGACTAGGAGCCAGAGCGTTCAGCTATCAAGCTCCTCTCCTGTGGAACCAGGTTCCAGTTTGGGTTCAGGAGGCAGACACCATCTCCACATTTAAGAGTAGGCTTAAGACTTTCCTCTTTGATAAAGCTTATAGTTAGGGCTGGCTCAGGTGAGTCCTGAACCATCCCTTAGTTATGCTGCTATAGGCCTAGACTGCCGGGGGATTTCCCATGATGCACTGAGCTCCTCTCTCCTCTACTTCCTCTCACTCTGTATGCAACCTCATCCCATTATTGCATGTTACTAACACAAATTCCCCCCTTTCTGGTAGTCTTGTGCTTTCTCGTCCCTCTCCTCTCTCCTCCTATCACTTCCTGCAGGTGTTTCTGGCTCTGGAGCTGTGGAGTCTGGATCTGTGGTTGCGGGTCACCTGCTGCCCCCGTGTTCCTGCTCGACACCCTCTGCTGCAACGACTATTGTTACTAGTCCTATTGTTATTATAATCATTAACATTACGATTATTATCATTAACACTACTATAAATATCTGTACCATTTTTCATTTAGTCTATAGCAACATCACCTTTACTGTCTGTACCTCTGTGTGGATATTGTGTAGGCTACCTCCCTCCCCTCTTCTCTCTCTCTCTCTCTCTCTCTCTCCTTCACCCCCAACCGGTCGAGGCAGATGGCCGCCCACCCTGAGCCATGGTTCTGCTCAAGGTTTCTGCCTCTTAAAGGAAGTTTTTCCTTGCCTCTGTCGCCTAGAGCTGCTCTTGGTGGGAACTGTTGGTCGGTCTAGACCTGCTCTCTTATGAAAAGCGCTGTGAGATAACTGTTGTCGTGATTTGGCGCTATATAAATAAAATTGAATTGAATATAATCTTTGTGGTCATCATCAACATGTAAACCACCTGCTGCTCTTAATGAGCAGTTTGAAGATTCAGCTCTTTTTTTGGGAGTCAGATCAGCAAAATCTCCTGAGTGTTTAAAGTCACAGCTGTCTTTTTAGTACGAGAGTTTTCATCTACACTTGATTTGTGATGCCTTGAACTTTTTTTGTTTTTATTGTGCTGTCTACTGTTGTAATGTTGCATTTAACTTGATATCCTTCTGTAAAGCATGTGGTAACCTAGGTTTTTAAAGGTGCTATATGAATGAAATGTTACTTATTGACTTAAAAACTGAAATGTTATTTAATGTTTTACATCCAGCTGCAGAGGTTCCCCTCTGTTTCCCTACAGTTCTTATCTCCAGTCATCTTGAAATTTAGGTTGTAAATCACTGCAGCAGAATGAAATGACTCAATAACAGTTTTTCTAAAATAGTTCATTTATAAATCCCTATAAACCTCATGGTGGGTATGATCACTGAGACTTGATCCTCCATCACAGATTTATTTACTGAGCTAATCTTTAGCTCATCAGCTGGTTAGTTAGCAGCATCTAGTGGACAGAGAATGAAACTACACATCTGATCAGTGACGTTTCTGACACTGACTGGGTTTAGGTGTGACACTATCTCACGACCAAATTTAAAACTTATTTAAGAAATAAAAGCTTTTGTTCCTGTAGCCTTCATCAAATAACAAAACAAAGGGATCATACAACACCACTCAGGTCAGGAACCTTCTGATGAGGTGGAGTCTGCCACAGGTTAGACCGGTTTTGACGTCACTCTGATGTTTTTTAGACTCTGAAGTTATGAGGCTGTGACGGCGTCCTCAGATCAGATGCACACAGACACCAGGACTGACGAGGAAGAAATGAGCAGCTTCTTCTCTCCCAGTGTTTCCTCCACACATGAAGGTGCAAAGTGTCTGTAAGTCGACCTGAAGTGAGTTCAGCAGGTGAGAATCCGACCAGAGGAATCTGTAAATGTCTGATAATCAGGATCACTTTGATCACATTGTGCTGGATCACTGTTTAACTGGACAGTAGAAATGCTTCTTGATGCTGATTGGCTGTTTCTAAATATCTCTTTGAAATCTGCTGTAGAATTTCTCTCCGAGTTAAAGAACAATGATTTCAGAAAGATTTCCCTGTAATATTGTTCATGTTTCTCAAGTAGAATCAGCAGCAGTCTGATTGTAGTCTGAGCTCACATCATCAGTGAAACATGCAGGGTGTGTCTGAACTGGTCTGACAGCTTGGATCCACTTGGCTCAGGTTTCTGTTTAACTGTTAATACTCTGAAGTTAAGAGCATGGATGAAGAGTTCAGGGCTCAAATACAGACATCTTCCAACACTGAGACGGACTTGGTTTCACTGAAGACCCTTTAGAACAGTCCAGGGGCCTCATGTATAAAAGCCATCTGTCAGCCATCGGCGATGGCATTGTGATTGTAAAACCCCGTCCCCCCGTCAAAAAAAAAAAACTAAATTTTTCACATTATACCGCTATGTGAAAGCAGGTTTTAATCACAACGAACATTATTATTAAAGAGGCCTACACCTCAGGTAAACACACCGGCTAATACCGGGGAAAGGCAGCCTGCAGTTGGCACTTGGCTTATTTTATTTCTTTTCCAATTGAAAGGTGCAGTATGGAATAGTTATGGCTGACTAGTGTGAGCACAAATAACACTGCTGGTTTGAATGTTTACATGATAAAGTGGTAAGATGTGAAATGAAGTGAAATTAAATATGTGAAAGTCATCATGATCTATTTTTCTCACATTCAATTTTATTTTGATATTAAACCACTACATACATGATCAAACCTTTGTCAAAAGACATAATTAGGATTTTGATAGACTACTCCATTGACATCTGCACAGTAATTGCAGTGGAAACACTATTTTGAAACATTTGGTGAGTTTTGGCACTTTAGCAGTTTACTGACAGCCAGACAAAAGTTTGTGGAGGGACTTCACATTCTCACATCACGTTCATTTTTATACATCCCACGTGTGCGTGAAAACCAGCGTACGTAACCTTTTTATACGTAGGCAGCGTTTATACATGAGGCCCCAGGTCTCAGCTGTACCAGAGGCTCCAGGATCCTTTCTAGATGGACCAGAGCCAGCCCAGGGTGGAGGGGAACTTAGAGGTTGATTAGGGCCCCTCAGCCATCAGGGGCCCTCACAGGAATAGAGAAGGACCAAAGTAAAATCAGCCATCCTGTGTCTCTCTGGTCATGATTTAAACATTTAAAGACAGAAATAAAGATTTAAAGACACAGACCTTGAGGAGAACTAAAGTGTCCTGAGATGTAAAGCTTGTTGTAATGAATGAGTGCAGCTCTCTCAGCATGTTGTTGTGTTTGTGTGAAGGTGTGGGCTCTGCTATGAATCAGTGTGAGGACAGAGAGGAGGGAGTCCCTCCCTCTAAAAGCACTCTGTGTGGGGAACATGACAGCCAGACCAAAGCTCAGAGGTGAGATGAGGATCTCTAACTGTCCAGGACTCAAATCACTCCACCATCATTATTCACTCTCAAAGCTCTGTGTGTGTTGTGTTGAAGCCCAGAGCAGCAGCAGGGACCAGACTCTGCTGGACCTGGACCTGGACCTGGACCTGGACCTGGACCTGGACCTGGACCCAGCTGCGTGTCCATCAAGAGTGACTGGTCTATGGACAAAGCTATTAACTTCAAAGGTGGACACCACTCTGCTGATCAAAGGTCAGCATGTTAAATGTTTGTGTCTCTCCTGAGATGAGGTTTGGTGTCTTTGTTTTGATCACTTCATGTTCTTAACTCTTCACTTTTTTCAAACTGGTCTCACATTTTGCAGATCTTAGTCCAAATATCAAAACCACGGTTAAAATCTACAAACAGCTGGATGCAGGTTTAAGAATGTATAAGAACATTGTCTATGGAGCCTCCTCTTGCTCAATGGAGGTGAATGAAGTTTAGTTTTGAGCTACTAACAGTAAAGATGCAGCTGGACAGATAAACAACAACTGAAAGTCGCTATAAAACTCTGTATCGCTGAGAAACTGCAGATTCAGCTGAAAACTCACTACCAGAGACACCAACACATAAATATATCTATTAAATCTGCTTTGAGGACACATCTGATTTGTTATTTCATTGTTCAGGATCCATCGGCAGAGACCAGATTCTCCTGGACCCAGCTGTGTGTCCGTGAACAGCGACCGTCATGTCCCTGTTCACTTCAAAGCTGGACATAATGATGCTGAACAAAAGTAAGAATCTTAAATGTTTGTGTTGTTTTGTTGACTCTCCTAAAAAGAGCTCTCAGGTAGGTCTTGGTTCAGCACTGTTTTTTGTTAATTAAAATAATAATAGACTCTTTATTTATTCCCAGAGGGAAATTCTCATGTCACATCAGCAGCACAGAAATGAACCAGGTTCAAAGAACAGTGCAAAACAAATGTCAAACACATGAGAAAGTAAAAATATTAAAAGTATGAGCATGCCCTTTTGTCTGCTGCTTACTGTAACTGTAAGTCCAGTTAGAGTCCAGTAGGACCTCAGCAGCCTCCTCGTCCGCTGATGTCCACTGAGACACAGCTGGATGAGTAAAACAGCAGCATTTTCTCCTGTCCAGTCTACCCTGCACCCAGCGGTGTTTCCATGGAAAGTGACCAGATCATACATTTTATACCAAGATCTGGTATAGGTGTATGAGGATCTGTTTCTACCAGATATAACACAGCACATGTAACACTGTTTGTCATTATATGTTCAAATCATCATATTTCTTCACAGAGTTGATGAGCAGAGCTCAGAGGTTCCCAGTGGTCAGTCTGCCCAGCAGCATCAAACAGACCTGGACTCCATATTTATGGTGTGTAAATGTACAAGCTCAGCTACTACTGCTAATTACAGGAGCCAGCACAAAAATGTCATTGAAATTATTTCTATAAATTATTTTATATTTAATTTCTGGATGATGTTCACAGGCAGCCATAATCCATAAAGCTGCAGTCAGTCCCAGCTGATAACCTATTGTGAGATCAGATATTTTAGAGGAAAACTAGAATATGTTGGAGCTAACAGGAATACGCTCAGTCTGGGTGCTAGTTCTGTTTGTCACAGCAGAACATCACTTAAGACCAAATATGAAATAAAGAGCTGAGAGAGGGTTGATATGCTGTTTATTTCTTCCCTCTGCAGTAACAACATAACAGAATGTATGTTTAGCTGCATCGACACAAAGATACAAAAATACTCTTTTTCATTCACGCACTTGTAATGAAAGTTATTGCACTGCACAACTGTAGTCCATCACTCCACCAGCCCACTGATACGCACCAATTTTAACTGTGTGACGTCAGTTAGGCTACACTACCACCGCAGGGCTCCCACTATAGAATAACCAGCACCATATGGAAACAGTCCTCAATAACACCAACTTGTTCTACAGAACATCTGACTGATACACTCAGTATCAACATTTGTGATTTGCTTAATTTGTTCTTTAACAGCATTTACTCATTATGTAGAAATCTCAGCAAGCAATATGTTTCCTTTAAAAATATTATAGGAGACAGGGCAGTCCACAAAGTAAATAGTGAAGCAGCATTCTGATCCAGTCTCCATGCTGCACTCTGCAGACCAGCAGGCTTTCTGTCTGTCACAGATGATCTGATGTTGACTTCTACCAGTTCAACTTTACATTTTCTTCTGTTCCAGCTGCTCCAGGAAACATTGGCAGGTTTGTGAAGAACGAGGTGAAGAAGTTCCAGAGAGTTCTGAGTCCAGATTACCCAGCATGCTTAGCGAGGGAGGAGGAGGAGGTGTTGGACGGTGAGGAGGAGGAGCAGAGGAGGAGCAGCAGAGAGGCATTTCTGAAGATCACACTGCACTTCCTGAGGATAATGAAGCAGGAGGAGCTGGCTGAGCGTCTGCAGAGCAGTAAGAGGATTTGAACAGATTTAACATGATGGAAAGAGGAAATGGAGGCAACATGGGAGAAGTTTCCATTTCAAACTCTGCTGTTAATATGATGCACACATTTGGATCAGATCTATGAATTCTTCTGGGCTGAAACTCAGAAACTGTTCACAGCTGATGAGCCGGAGAGATTTCATGGAGGAGGAAAATAAATACCATCTTGATGTCTTAAAGTTTACATTTATCAGATTTACTGTAGCATCCACTTATTAATCACATTTCTTCTTTCTTCATTCAGGAACTGCTGCTCCAGTGTGCCGACGTAAACTCAAGTGTAACCTGAAGAAGAAGTTCCAGTGTGTGTTTGAGGGGATTGCTAAAGCAGGAAACCCAACCCTTCTGAACCAGATCTACACAGAGCTCTACATCACAGAGGGAGGGACTGCAGAGGTCAATGATGAACATGAGGTCAGACAGATTGAAACAGCATCCAGGAAACCAGACAGACCAGAAACAACCATCAGACAAGAAGACATCTTTAAAGCCTCACCTGGAAGAGATGAACCAATCAGAACAGTGATGACAAAGGGAGTGGCTGGCATTGGGAAAACCGTCTTAACACAGAAGTTCACTCTGGACTGGGCTGAAGACAAAGCCAACCAGGACATACAGTTCACATTTCCATTCACTTTCAGAGAGCTGAATGTGCTGAAAGAGAAAAAGTACAGCTTGGTGGAACTTGTTCATCACTTCTTTCCTGAAACCAAAGAAGCAGGAATCTGCAGCTTTGAAGAGTTCCAGGTTGTGTTCATCTTTGACGGTCTGGATGAGTGTCGACTTCCTCTGGACTTCCACAACAATGAGGTCCTGACTGATGTTACAGAGTCCACCTCAGTGGATGTGCTGCTGACAAACCTCATCAGGGGGAACCTGCTTCCCTCTGCTCGCCTCTGGATAACCACACGACCTGCAGCAGCCAATCAGATCCCTCCTGAGTGTGTTGACATGGTGACAGAGGTCAGAGGGTTCAGTGACCCACAGAAGGAGGAGTACTTCAGGAAGAGGTTCAGAGATGAGGAGCAGGCCAGCAGAATCATCTCCCACATCAAGACATCACGAAGCCTCCACATCATGTGCCACATCCCAGTCTTCTGCTGGATCACTGCTACAGTTCTGGAGGAGGTGTTGGAGACCAGAGAGGGAGTAGAGCTGCCCAAGACCCTGACTGAGATGTACATCCACTTCCTGGTGGTTCAGTCCAAACTGAAGAACGTCAAGTATGATGGAGGAGCTGAGACAGATCCACACTGGAGTCCAGAGAGCAGGAAGATGATTGAGTCTCTGGGAAAACTGGCCTTTGAGCAGCTGCAGAAAGGCAACCTGATCTTCTATGAATCAGACCTGACAGAGTGTGGCATCGATATCAGAGCAGCCTCAGTGTACTCAGGAGTGTTCACACAGATTTTTAAAGAGGAGAGAGGGCTGTACCAGGACAAGGTGTTCTGCTTCATCCATCTGAGCGTTCAGGAGTTTCTGGCTGCTCTTCATGTCCATCTGACCTTCATCAACTCTGGTGTCAATCTGCTGGCAGAAGAACAATCAACCTCCCGGCTGTCTAAAGTCTTCAGAGACAAACTTAAACTAACACATCTCTACCAGAGTGCTGTGGACGAGGCCTTACAGAGTCCAAATGGACACCTGGACTTGTTCCTCCGCTTCCTCCTGGGTCTCTCACTGCAGACCAATCAGACTCTCCTACGAGGTCTGCTGACACAGACAGGAAGTAGCTCAGAGACCAATCAGGAAACAGTTGAGTACATCAAGAAGAAGATCAGTGAGAATCTGTCTCCAGAGAGAAGCATCAATCTGTTCCACTGTCTGAATGAATTGAATGATCGTTCTCTAGTGGAGGAGATCCAACAGTCCTTGAGTTCAGGACGTCTCTCCACAGATAAACTCTCTCCTGCTCAGTGGTCAGCTCTGGGCTTCATCTTACTGTCATCAGAAAAAGATCTGGATGTGTTTGACCTGAAGAAATACTCTGCTTCAGAGGAGGCTCTTCTGAGGCTGCTGCCAGTGGTCAAAGCCTCCAACAAAGCTCTGTAGGTGGATAAATGGATGTGCAATTTCTAAAACTGTATATTTGACAAATAAAACATTCAGTTTGTGTTCATTGCTAATCCTTTTTCAGGTTGAGTGGCTGTAATCTCTCAGAGAGAAGCTGTGAAGCTCTTTCCTCAGTTCTCAGCTCCCAGTCCTCTAGTCTGAGAGAGCTGGACCTGAGTAACAACAACCTGCAGGATTCAGGAGTGAAGCTGCTGTCTGCTGGACTCGAGAGTCCACACTGTACACTGGAAACTCTCAGGTCAGTAATCAGCTGTTTCTTTTAAATCCTCTTCATCTGGTTTTAGGTTCAGTTAGTGAAAATGGTCTGTAAGATTTTCCTGCTGACATGATTTTCTAAAACACAGAGTTTATGACGTTTTCCTGATTCCAGACTGTCAGGCTGTCTGATCACAGAGGAAGGCTGTGCTTCTCTGGCCTCAGCTCTGATCTCTGAGAGAGCTGGACCTTAGCTACAATCATCCAGGAGACTCAGGGGTGAAGTTGCTGTCTGCTGGACTGGAGGAGCCACACTGGAGACTGGACACTCTCAGGTTTGGACAGACAGCAAGAGCTCACACACTGCAGGTGTCTCTATTTTCTGTTATTTTCTGTCAGTCTACTGGAGTCCATCATCATGAAGGACTTCTTATTCCTCCTCATTCTGTTCAGAGCAGTGAGTAGGCCTGAGATAGGAAATACACGGCTCTCCAGAAGTCTTATCGATTGGAAACCATTAGAAACATCAGAAACTTGGATGTAAAATCATTCTAATGTGAGACCTGCTTGCAGCATTTCTCTATGGATAGAATCAGGGGTGGACTGGTAATCTGGCATACCAGGTAAATGCCTTGTGGGCCGACGAAACTTTGGGGCCAGTGTAACATAAATTACTTATTTATTCAACTGTTTTAAAAAATGGGCCAACGGTCGGCCCATAAAGCATGTACCGCAGCACATTGGGTAATTTTCTATACTGACCCCCCCCCCCCTCTCTGCTTTCTGTTTCTGGAGTTGTGGGCCAAAAAAAATTAAACATTCTGCAGATGGATGCCACCAAATGCGCAAAATAACCGATATGTTAGCAGGAGGAGAGTGGAGGTGAAGCGGTAAGCATGGAGTAGCTCAGCCTGTAGGGAGGGAGCAGGGAGGGAGGGTCATAGTGTCATTTACACTGGGGACGCTGGGGACATGTCCCCACCACTTTTTGAAATGGCAGATGTTGTCCCCATCACTTTTTGAAAGCATTTGTTAAAAATGTTAATGTTAAGAAATGTTAATTAACAAATGAAAATGCTTTGAGAAAGGTTTATTTGCACTATTCTGAAAACCAGCAATGCAATAAAAACATAGAAGAAACATCTGCGTTGTCCAAAAAAACTAACTTAAGCTAAAAAAAGAGCTACAGATTACTGCATTATTCTATTACATTTTTATATTCTGAATCATCACTTGCCAACTGAATTTGTGCTTCCCTTTACATAAATAAAGACATTCCACCATAAATTGGTGCAGAAAATATTCCCAGAATGCAGGAAATTAAGTGATTAATGATCAAAACAGTATTCAAATATATTCTTGTCTTGTTCTTGTGACCCCAATCTTGTGCAATGTCACATCTCATGGGCAAAGTGTGTCGTCACCCCCCTAATCTGAGCCCTTAAATGTCCCCACCACTGTTCAACACAAAGTGAAGCCCTTGGGTAGGATGTGTGCCATGCTGTAGTGACAATGATGATGATTACTTCAATGAAGGTTGATGATTATAACATATGAGTACACTGATTGACTTGCACTGGTACACTTATCCATGGCACATACCACTCGGCTTGTTTGTGTACAGTAGGTACACATGTTATATATGGAAGGATGGTGTATCAGTGAGGAGTGTCTCACCAATTTAGGTGAGCCGCCTGAGCCAACAATGCCAGGGCCAATTTTTTTGTCCCAGTCCAGCTCTGGATAGAAGTGTTTGATGGTTCATCTCAACAACTACTAAATTTGTTGAGATTAATGTAGCTGCAGTGTTACAAGTCTAACTACATTTCTCAGTAGTGTGGTGGTAGCTTCGCTTTTTTCTGATCAAATGGCTTTTCAACCTCGAAGCTCCTTTATTGATCAAGTACCGTGGTAGCATCCACACACTGGGGTTGGGCCGATAGACGATGCCATCGGTGATGGCTGATGGCTGTTGAAAGCGGGATTTAATCCCCAAAAACATTATCATTATCATTTTTAAAAATACCTGGTTTGCACCTGTCTCTGAATTCTCTTCTCCCCACACTTACACACACCTAACGTTACATGTCTGGTCTCTCTCCGCCTGTCTGCTGCACTTTCTCCATCAGCAGTGTGTTTTATAAAGTCGCCTAAAACACACAGAACTCGTCTTTTTTCATATGTTTCCACCCGTGATCTGTTATCACGGCAGCAGGTGAGCCGCATGCCGGCTTGTTAAGGACGTAGCCTATGAAACAACCGAAACCATCTGCACTCTAGTGCCTGCTGTTGCATTACCTGGTCCGTGACTTGTAACGTAATAATGGAGTGCCAAGATTTTTACTGAGTGAAGTCTGTGCGAGTCAAGAGATGCAATAAAATTACTGTTATTATTGTTAATAATAAAATGTACTTCAAAGAACGGAGCACTTCCTGAAGGCTACCATGCCGACCAATCACAGTTATTGCTGTCTGTCTTTTTTTCTTCCTTTTTAATAATATCAAATAGCAACATATATCACCAATCTTAACATTGCAATGGATACTTCACATTAGGGATACCGATGTATTTATAGCTAGGGGGTACAATAACAGAACAATACAGCGAAAATAAATAAGGATATCACAGATATCTTTGAAGGTTCTCAGAAGGTTAAAGTCAAGGGCAACTGGACTTGGTTGAAGGATATCACAGACCTTTAAGCGAGTACAGACATTAAGGAGCCTATCTTCAAAGCCTTTCTGTTGGAGGAGAAACTAAAAAAAAACAAAGTTTCTTTCTCAAGGACTATAAATGGGGTTTTTGTCAATTTGCATTTGTGTTTATGAAATTTAGCCAGAAACAACATAAATTGATTAAGAAATAATGGTCGCAGTGTTACACTAAAAAAGATATTCTAACCCTAACTTTTTGGCAAAAACTCAACTCGTCGTGTTTGGAGGAAGAAGAATGCAGAGTTGCATCACCATACCTACTGTGAAGCATGGGGGAGGAAACATCATGCTTTGGGGCTGTTTTTCTGCAAAGGGGACAGGAAAACTCATCCGTGTCAAAGGAAGAATGAACGGGGCCATGTATCGTGAGATTTTTAAGCCAAATCCTCCTCCCATCAGTGAGAGCGTTGAAGATGGAACGTGGCTGGGTCTTCCAGCATGACAATGATCCCAAACACGCCGCTCGGGCAACGAAGGAGTGGCTCCGTTAAAAAGCATTTCAAGGTCCTGGAGTGGCCTAGCCAGTCTCCAGACCTCAACCCCATAGAAAAGCTGTGGAGGGAGTTGAAACTCCGTGTTGCCCAGCGACAGCCCCAAAACATCACTGCTCTAGAGGAGATCTGCAGGGAGGAATGGGCCAAAATACCAGCTACAGTGTGCAAACCTGCTGAAGACTTACAGGAAACATTGACCTTGAGTACTGACCAAATACTTATTTTCCACCATAATTTACAAATAAATTCTTTAAAAATCATACAATGTGATTTCCTCTTCTCATTTTGTGTCTCATAGTTGAAGTGTACCTATGACAAAACCTCATCTTTCTAAATGGGAGAACTTGCACAATCAGTAGCTGACAATACTTTTTTTGTGTATCTATCAAAATCTCAATAAATCATATGTTGAAAATGTCATGCTTTTTTTCACAAGCAGCACATCTATTAAAGTAACAATGTTTTACCACTGGTTCTCAGTTTGTGAGGAAATACATTTTGTTGTAATATTTGGGCGTTTCTGTCTGATTTAGATCTCTCACGTTGTTACTGTTTGGAGCAGGTCTTTATTCTTTTGCTACTCTGGAATGAAGTTGGTTCAATATAAATAAAAGTAGCTCAGATGTAGTAAAGGACTTTTGCCATGTTGCTGTAGCTGAGCTTGCTACGTTTCTCCTGGTTGTAGCTTCAGTGTAGTGAAGCTTCATTTAATGTAGAGTTAACTGGTAGCTTGGCTCACTACATTTTCCAAGTGGTTTGTGCAACACTGTAAACACTAGTGTCTTGTTTATTATAAATACAATTGTTAAATATTTAAAGCAAAACAAATGCGCACATTTAGATGCATATAATTATTTGCTGCTGAGAGAAACACCTTCTCGGTGCCTTTATTCTCTGTTAACTTCATCATTTAGCCTCATCTGTCTCTGTGAAATACAGTCCTTTATTGATATGAAATTCCCAAGTCAGTTTTATTAAGTGCAAAATCACAAACTTGTCTCAAAGCTTTACAGTCTGTACATCATGTGGCCTCTCTGTCCTCAGACCCTCTGTTTCTGACAGAAATTACTCAATACAAGTTGAATCTGATCTGAGAACAGTCTGGAAACAGTTTAGTTGTTCATGTGTGAATGCTGGTCAAACTGTTTATTTAGCGGGACAACATGCAGAGGACAATATTTGACATCCTGCTCTCATATTGGTTGTCTTCTTCTTCAGGTCCTTTTCTCAGACAGTGAAAGAATCCTGGAGACAGTTGACACAGTTGAGTTTCAGCCTGTTTCTCTGTCACACTGACAAACTGAGGAACACTGCTTCATGTTGAACAGCAGTTAGGACTCATGTTGGATAGAAAATCACTCTGACTGTGTTTCTTCCTCCAGGGTGGACCATGGTGGAGAGCAGAGGTTAAAACCTGATGTGAGGAAGTGTAAGTGTGGATTCAATCTGACTCATGATGACAAAACAGCACACAGTCAGTTTCTCTTAATACAAAGTTGATAGTTGTGGTATTTATTCATTCAAACATTACTGACTAAATGCATCATCATTAAACTTTATAGAAAACAAAGAATAAACCTTCAGATGTGTCTGATGATAAACTGCTGCTGTGTTGTGTCTCGTTCTCTCCATCAGATCTCTGTGAACTCACACTGGACACAAACACAGCACACAGAAACCTCAAACTGTCTGACAACAACAGGAAGGTGACACGGGTGAGAGAGGAGCAGCCATATCCTGATCATCCAGAGAGATTTGAGTACTGGCCTCAGCTGCTGTGTGGAGATGGTCTGACTGGTCGCTGTTACTGGGAGGTCGAGTGGAGAGGAGGAGTTTATATATCAGTGAGTTACAGAGGAATCAGAAGGAGAGGAGACAGTAAAGACTGTGTGTTTGGATGGAATGATCAGTCCTGGAGTCTGAGCTGCTCTAATAATGGTTCTTTCTCTGTCTGTCACAATAAGAGAGAAACAGTCCTCCCTCTCTCCTCCTCCTCCTCCTCCTCCTCCTCTAACAGAGTAGCAGTGTATGTGGACTGTCCTGCTGGCTCTCTGTCCTTCTACAGAGTCTCCTCTGACACACTGATCCACCTCCACACCTTCAACACCACATTCACTGAACCTCTTTATCCTGGGTTTAGGATCTGGTTCTATGGTTCCTCCTCAGTGTCTCTGTGTTCTGTGTAGGAGGGAGACAACTTCCAGTCCTGTGGTTTAAATGTTGGTGGTGGACGAGGCTTCACTTTGGTTAACATCTGGCTCACTGATTGTGCCTTTAATGTCAGAAATGTGTTTTCTTAGAAATGGTGAAATGATCTCAGGGCTGAACTTGTTGTGTACAAACTGTGTTGACTCTGATTTTCACTTTAATAAAGTTTTCTTGGAGCAGCATCTAGTAGCTGCTGATGGCTGCAGAGCTTCTCATTTATTTCAATAAAGGTTTGGAGACAAAAACTCAACAAATAGTCTTGATTTATTCTGTTACTCAAGTACATTTCTTTTCCTGCTGAGTTTGATCCTCACAAAGGCTAAATCAAAAGATAAGTCAGGCAGGAAGGAAGTGAAGCCTTGAAGGTTTATTATTATTATCTGAAAAATATAGAGATATATATAATAGGATTTAGTTTTTTCTCTCAATATTATTTTAATTATTTTATGAAATGAAGTTGTGTCAACAAACATAGTTCATGCAACATACTCCGGTACAGTAGGTGGCGTATGCACCTTTAAAAGTCATGGCTGCAATCTGCCATAAAAGAAGAAGAAAAACACACTCCCAAAGGTGGAACCAAAGTTACCAGCAGTTGTACCACACGGAGGTATTTCAGCAGGAGCCGGAAGTGAGTTAAAGTTGTGGCAACGCGCGGAATAGCTGAAGTTCTGAGTTAATTTAGTATTTGTGGAAGATTTGTGAGTTTATTCAGGTAAACATGGCGTCTAAACGTAAATGTGACGCCACGGTTCCTGCGGAGGAAAGTGACCAACTGCTCATCCGCCCGCTGTGAGTTCAAACACAACGTTTACCTGGTTTAGCCTCCGTGGCTGCTGCTCTCTCACCAAACTCCATTCAGAAAAACACCAATTTAGTAGATCTTCCTTTTATCAACAAAGGCCAAAGCTTTTTTAATCTTGCTATTTAAACTTAACTATTCATTAGAGGCAAGGCTTCATTTCGGCGCAGACCAAATGTACCAAACATTATTTATTTAAGAAGGTTTTCAACGTGGAAATCTAACCGCGAGACTTGACGTTAACTTCGACAACATTTATTAAAATCAGATGCTAATTGGTGGATTCTAGAAATTCAGACTTAATAATTTAACTGATTAATTAAATTAAATAACTGGTATTTGGCTTGTTTTGGCCTTTGCTGACAAAGTGTTTTAAAAGTGCTTAATTTTTGAATGGTGTTCTGCTTGATGTTCCTCTGGGGGCAGATATGCATCAGCTGGTCCTTCTGTTATTATTGGTTCTGCTGGGTTTGATAGCTGAGTTTAGTTTGTTAACGGTTCTTCGTTGAAACATCTGGATGTCAGTTAGACATGAAAGTGATGCTGTCTCTGTGTGTTTGTGTCCAGAGGAGCAGGACAGGAGGTGGGACGGTCCTGCATCATCCTGGAGTTCAAGGGACGAAAGATTATGGTCTGTTTTTAATCCCATCAGCTGCACGGTATTCAGCTTTCAGTCACCTCAGTGTGTAAAAATGTGTGTGTTGTGGTTCAGCTGGACTGCGGGATCCATCCTGGTCTGGACGGGATGGACGCTCTGCCGTACATCGACCTGATCGACCCGGCTGAAATTGACCTGCTGCTCATCAGCCAGTGAGTTCCCAACATTTATCAGCACAGCAACCAGAGAACACTTTAATATACACACACTCAGCTGTACTAGCAGGTGGACTTTAATGTCCAAGTGTGTTGTTTTCCCTTCTCTGTACAGACTCGACCTGTGTATGAAATGTGCTTTCTAATCAAACTGCTTTGCCTGACATGATGCTGAGAAATCAGACCAACATAAAGGTCAGGGCTGATGTGGACCTGGAAACTCCTCAGTAACTGTTGCCCTCCCTCTCAGCTTCCACCTGGATCACTGTGGAGCTCTGCCCTGGTTCCTGCAGAAGACCAGCTTTAAAGGACGCACCTTCATGACTCACGCCACCAAGGCCATCTACCGCTGGCTGCTGTCCGACTACGTCAAAGTCAGGTAAGACCAGGACCCAGAGTCACATCAGACTCCCATACTACAGGGACCTGGACTCACCAGGACAGGATATGATGTACTGTGTTTAATGTTCTTCTGTGTATACCATGTGGAGTATAACCTGCAGTACTTCAGCGTGTATAACCTGCAGTACTTCAGCGTGTATAACCTGCAGTACTTCAGCGTGTATAACCTGCAGTACTTCAGCGTGTGTAACCTGCAGTACTTCAGCATGTGTAACCTGCAGTACTTCAGCGTGTATAACCTGCAGTACTTCAGTGTGTGTTGTAGTAAAGCTGACCTGTTTTCTGCAGTAACATCTCTGCAGACGACATGTTGTACACGGAGACGGACCTGGAGGAGAGCATGGAGAAGATGGAGACCATCAACTTCCACAGTGCGGACGGTAACAAGTGGTGAACACAGCGGTGAGGTTCATTCAGATTTATTTAAATACGCTTTTTCCCACCACAATTTTGGCGTTGTCTGCTCGTCACACGCGCGAGAGGACTCGGACACTCGGAGCTGCAGGTGAAAAACCGTATGGCCAAAATACGGGTGAGACGTTGAGGGCCTGACGCCTGAGTGTCTGAGGCTCCCTCACCGCTGTGATCCACAAAGAACCTGGTGGCTGGCAACACTCTCTTTGTGGTGAGTAGACTGTTCAAGTGGAACGATTCTCGCTGCCTCTCAGGGTGAGCGTGACAGACGTGTCAGCAGGGCAGGCCTGGGGCCGCTGTGTGAATCGGCAAAGCTTTGTGTTAAAGGTACTATAGTCAAGAAATCACTGGGGGGCAGTGGATTTCTTATAGGTCTGGGACCTGCTGTTGCATCACTTCTTTTGGGTCTGGGACCCACAGTAAAGTAGGGGTGTGTGAGTCATAGGACTCGCAATAAAATTGAAGAAAAACAATTTTATTTAAAAGAATTTTTTTATTATTTTACTTGGGGTTGCTGCTCCAGGTGATTACCAAGTAATTAGACAGTATTGTTGAATGCTGAATGTGTGAATGTTGAACAAAGGCTTTTTGTAAACGGGATAGGATTTCCTCAGACTACTAGCTTTGTTAACATTTAATAGAAACACGTAAGAATTTAGACATTATATAGATCTTGTGACAACCTAGAATTCAGCAGGTTTCACCACCGTGGAAAACCCCGGAAACGCCCATTTTATAAATGAGCCACACTGATTCGTTGCCGGATGGCGCGACAATTAAACCTCCTCCTTTTTGTTTTGTTTGTGCCAGAGAAACTGAACCAGTTTTATTTATCTTTTTTTTTGCTTTGGCACTGGACTGAATTTATTTTTGTGATTTTGAAATGAACTGCAACTAATTTGTGTTGTTTTTGAGATTGTTTGGTTTAAGTGTGCAGAAAACCCGAAATGGAATTTTCAGTTGGTTTGTGTTTTACTTTGTGATTGTATTTTTGTGTGAAATCTTGAAATGCACCAATATTTTGTTTTGTACTAAGCTTTTGAGTTTGTGGTGTTTCTTTCTTTTATGGTCATTCAGTGTTTTTTTGTTGATTTAAAGCGGGCTCTTCAGTCTCCACCGACCCTGGGTCTCCCCGACTGTAACACACATTTCACCCAGACTGTTGACGAAAAGGGGGGGTACATGACCTCAGTACCACTACAAGACCATGGGGGACGACTGAGACCTGTAGCTTATTTTTCATCCAAACTGGACTCTGTTGCAGCCAAACTGCCTGAGAGCTGTGGCGGCTGCTGAAAAAGCAGCCATGGCATCACGTGACATTGTGGGTTATTCAGACTTGACATTGCTGGTTCCACATGCTGTCGATGATTTTGCTTGAACAAAAAACATCTCATCTCTCCACATCCAGGTGGCTGAGATACAAGACCGTGTTGCTTGATATATCTAACATTACTGCACTGTACTGAATCCTGCTACTCTCCTCCCAACTCCAGGTGAAGGACAGCCGCATGGTTGTGTTGCAGTCATAGCAGAAACCTGCTCTCTAAGGGCAGACTTGCAGGAGACTCCTGTAACAAACCCAGACATGGAGTTGTTTGTGGACGGATCAGCATCACGTGATCCAGCTCCTGGTAAAAATCGTTTTTTGCAATAACAACTTTGCATGAGACTATTTTGCATCATTTGTGCAACTAACAATGTGGGGCGGCCGATTCAGATCCCACAGGTGGCACACCCACCCCCAGACAAACCATTTGAGCACCTGCAAATGGACTTCATTGAACTGACACTGTCACAGGGGAAGAAATATTGTGTTGTCATGGTAGATATGTTCTCTAAACGGGTAGAGGCATTTTCAACATCTAAACAGGATGCAGCAGCAGTTGCAAAAGCTTTGATAAGCCAGATCATCGCTGAGCGATCCTAGCTAAGATCTCCAGTGATAATGGCACACCTTTCATTAGCGCAGCACTGAAGAGTGTAGGGGAGGATATGGGGATTGATCTGAGGCAACATTGTGCTCATCATCCAGCTAGCGGAGGTGCAGTTGAATAAGAAAATGGCACATTGAAAAACAAGCTTGTTAAATGCTGTGAAGAAACAGGTTTAACATGGACAAAAGCTTTGCCGATCATTTTAATGCACATGAGAAGCCGGATGAGGGGCAGAGGGGGTCTCAGTCCTTTTGAAGTCCTATTTGGCAGACCATTGAACACGGGGATTGGGCCAGTAAAAAGACAACTCCCTGATACCAGCCAATGTGAGGATGAAATGTTGAGATATTGTGCTAATTTGTCCTCTGTGCTTTCTGAAATTCATATGCAGGTCAAAAACGCCATCCCGAAGGCCGTAGAAAAGAAACTGCACGATCTGGAGCCAGGGGACTGGATTGTGGGAAAGGACTTCAGGAGAAAGGGCTCGCAGGTGGACCGGGCCATTTCAGATACTGCTAACAACAGAAACAGCAGTAAAAGTGGCTGAAAGAGCAACTTGGATTCACGCCACCCACTGCAAACGAGTGCCAAAGCAACCAAAAGGCCTCAAACCAGGCGAAGATGGAGATCAGTGATTGAGCTGAGCTTTCCCCTGCCTTGTGTTCCTAGGGAGGGAGGGGAGTGGAGGTCTCTGAGACCACCTAGAACCACTAATCTCCCAAACACTCACCGCGGGCACACTGAAACCAACAGATGGCTCTGGAGAGGTGACAGACCGAGACAAAACGGAGGCGTTGTTCTGCTCACTGTCATCATTTCCAAACATGAAAACAACAAACTTGGCCTGACTGAGGGAAAGTTCCAGGCCGAAGAGGAGGAGATGCACGTCCTCCCTGACAGCCCGGCTGGGCTGAAAGACAATGCATGGTATGCAACCACGATGACCACTTCAAGAAAAGTAACCAATCAGAGCTGTTATGCGTGCGCACAGCTCCCTCATGGAGTGGGGAACTCCATACCAGTGAAACCCAGACCAATAAATGTTTCAGAGACACTAGGAGCCCTGTTAACCTTCACTCAAGGGTTTCCCAGGGTGGGCCGAGAAGTTAAGGATATGACCAAGACACTTAACTGTGTAACATCAGCATGGTCAACTTTAGGGTTAGGTTCTGGAACACGTCTCAGATAACCACCAGATGTACCTTGGACATGGGTGTCTTTCTATAGATCCAGATTGAGTGTCCCCTAGGGAACACTGAAAGACACCATGTTCCTTTGATGAGATAGGACTCCGACCCTGAGACTAAGATAAAAGCTGCATGACCTGTTACGCTGCAGCTCACTCGGATGATACACTCGGATGTGTATGTGTCCCCTTGAATTCCTTCTGCAGAAGACTTGAATAAAATTCACAGAAAGACAAGTGTTTGCTTTTTCCCACCACACCGTCTACATTAAATCGACTGAAAATGCACATCTAGTGGCCGTTCATGTACACTGGGCATGCACGTGCCAGTGTAAACTTGAGGCAGATGGCGATTTGGCGAAAGAATAAAGTACTACAGACGAAGAACCGCAACAGGTTTTTATTTTGCATGGAACAATAACAAGCTGGGACTGTTACTGAATGCAACACGGGAGTTAAAAGCAGCGGTGGTGGCGGAAAACAGACTGGGAGTTGTCGCAAAGTAAACATACACAGTAAGTGCAGGCTGTAAGTGTTATTTGCACGGTACAGAAAATTTTTATAAAAATACCACAACTAAAACTTTGTCAGCAGCATCGTGTTTCTGCTTTGTATGACTTATAAGAGCCAATCAGAGAGTCAAACGTGAGCGTCTGTGTCATCGTTTCTAAAGTCTTTCGTTTTTGCCCGTCTTCACTAAAACGCTACCTGGACTTTAGAAACGCGAAACTGGGTCGGCAGCATTTCCAAACTTCTCCGTTTTAGTCTGGACGGGAGGTGCAAACGTAGCGAAAGGTCTCCGTTTTAAAACCAAAACGCAGAAGTGTGGGCGTAATATCGTGTAAAAATTCAAGACTTGGGTCAGATAAGAAAGCTTGAACTTTTACCAACATTTTTATTAACGACAAAACAGACACCAATTAGAATACAAAAGTTCCACCGGAGTGAGTCAGAGATCGGTGCAAAATAGAGCCCCATTCTGTTACCAGAACAGAGACCCGAGTTGACATGAAAACCATGTAACGACTGACTTTCACCTCCTTTTATAGTTCTGTTTCTTGGGATCACATCATCTCTTGGCTCTCTTTCCTACTGCACCTGGATCTGGGAAAGTCCAAGATTTTCACGTGCATCAGCATTTGTGAGAAAGTCTCTGACTGTGCTGCTCCTCCTCTCTGTGTCCTTTGCATGCCCTCCGCCTGATCATACTTTTTCATCCATAACCTGACTCTTGTGGAATAAACTGGTGTTTGTGCTCTGTGCTAGAAAAAGGACATTCTTACTGTGATGGACTATATTGATGTATGTTTTGTAATACAATTTTCACAAAATCTGCTTCAGACTAGCTAGAGAGAGTACAGGTGCAGGTCATATAATTAGAATATCATCAAAAAGTTGATTTATTTCAGTAATTCCATTCAAAAGGTGAAACTACATTCATTCCACACAGACTGATATATTTCAAGTGTTCATTCCTTTTAATTTTGATGATTATAACTGACAACTAATGAAAACCCCAAAATCAGTATCTCAGAAAATTAGCATATTGTGAAAAGGTTCAATATTGAAGACACCTGGTGCCACACTCTAATCAGCTAATTGACTCAGAACACCTGCAAAGGCCTTTAAATGGTCACTCAGTCTAGTTCTGTAGGCTACACAATCATGGGGAAGACTGCTAACATGATAGCTGTCCAAAAGACGACCACTGACACCTTGCACAAGGAGGGCAAGACACAAAAGGTCATTGCTGAAGAGGCTGGCTGTTCACAGAGCTCTGTGTCCAAGCACATTAATAGAGAGGCGAAGGGAAGGAAAAGATGTGGTAGAAAAAAGTGTACAAGCAATAGGGATAACCGCACCCTGGAGAGGATTGTGAAACAAAACCCATTCAAAAATGTGGGGGAGATTCACAAAGAGTGGACTGCAGCTGGAGTCAGTGCTTCAAGAACCACCACGCACAGACGTATGCAAGACATGGGTTTCAGCTGTCGCATTCCTTGTGTCAAGCCACTCTTGAACAAGACACAGCGTCAGAAGCGTCTCGCCTGGGCTAAAGACAAAAAGGACTGGACTGCTGCTGAGTGGTCCAAAGTTATGTTCTCTGATGAAAGTAAATTTTGCATTTCCTTTGGAAATCAAGGTCCCAGAGTCTGGAGGAAGAGAGGAGAGGCACAGAATCCACGTTGCTTGAAGTCCAGTGTAAAGTTTCCACAGTCAGTGATGGTTTGGGGTGCCATGTCATCTGCTGGTGTTGGTCCACTGTGTTTTCTGAGGTCCAAGGTCAACGCAGCCGTCTACCAGGAAGTTTTAGAGCACTTCATGCTTCCTGCTGCTGACCAATTTATGGAGATGCAGATTTCATTTTCCAACAGGACTTGGCTCCTGCACACAGTGCCAAAGCTACCAGTACCTGGTTTAAGGACCATGGTATCCCTGTTCTTAATTGGCCACCAAACTGGTCTGACCTTAACCCTATAGAAAATCTATGGGGTATTGTGAAGAGGAAGATGCGATACGCCAGACCCAACAATGCAGATGAGCTGAAGGCCACTATCAGAGCAACCTGGGCTCTCATAACACCTGAGCAGTGCCACAGACTGATGGACTCCATGCCACGCCGCATTGCTGCAGTAATTCAGGCAAAAGGAGCCCCGACTAAGTATTGAGTGCTGAACATGCTCATACTTTTCATGCTCATACTTTTCATGCTCATACTTTTCAGTTGGCTCTTTTTGTATTGGTCTTAAGTAATATTCCAATGTCAGTTTTAATCATCACAATTAAATGAAATAAACATTTGAAATCTATCAGTCTGTGTGTAATGAATGAAGATAATATCCAAGTTTCAGTTTTTGAATGGAATTACTGAAATAAATCAACTTTTTGATGATATTCTAATTATATGACCAGCACCTGTAGATTAAGTGTACTTCTCTGTTTATTCTCTTTTCTAAATAATTTTAACTCAATTATTTGCTCAACCCCTCAGCCTGTTTTTATTTTCCATTTAACTCTTTTAACCCTGATTGTACACTGCACTGTAACTGTTATTATTTTTTAATGTGTATTATTTCAATTTCACTATGTTGCTTGTAACCTTTTTTTATATTTCCCTGTTGCTTTTATGTTTTATGTAAAGCCCTTTGAATTACCTTGTTGTTGAAATGTGCTATACAAATAAACCTGCCTTGCCTTCTACATTTTCCTTTGCAAGTGTTTTTGATGCTGTATTGCTATCCCACTGTGCTTGCTCACTCATACACACGTGCAACTGTTGAGCCTGGGCAGTTAGATACAGAAAGGAGCACACACATCCAGAACTATAGAGTTTTAACACTGTGATCCTAACTTTACACTTTAAAATAACACTTTAAATGATGACAATGGAGACCACCATTGCTCTACTAATTAATGATAACAATTTAGGCTATAATGCTCTAAAATAATTCACAACACTCCCTCCTCTGAGGCTGTAAAGCCTCACACTTTATACACCAACACTGTGACCACTGAAAGTGGGCGACCTATTGTATTTGGCATCTGAAACCGATTTCTCAGACTTGCAGACCTTCAAGAAAATACCCAAATTATTGTTTCCACATTGTGAAATAATCAATAATCATGCGGTGGGCTGTTTCTGTTGCTAACACATTTGAGCAAGTTATAATGACAAGGATTTCCATTACTCCTCTCTCCTCCTCATTACCCTTTAAATGAGCTTATTAAACTATTAAACTACCTATACGTGCTATATTATAGTGAGATGTACCTTGTAAATGGTTTACACTCATGAAACAAATAATTTTATGCAGTGAGCTGTTCTTTCGTTATATACTTTAGCAAGCTAACAATTATAACAACACCTAATGTGTTGAAAGGCACACATCATATATCAAAACAATCACAGGGTGCATAGTGAACTTTTTGTGTAACAATACAGTAACCAGACATAACAGTGTTTCAACAATCATTCATGTGACACTTCAGAATGGTGCAAAATGTCCGATAAACATGTATGATGTCCATATTGAAAGTTGCCTGTTGTACTGTGGAACTTACTTTGGCACTCAGGTTTCTTGGGGAACAGACTGGGTACCAATTTGAGGGCACTCAGTCGTTTGTAGTTACAGTCTTGTTCTTCTCTTTGCTGGTTCACTTTGACTCAAGTCAAAGTCGTCTCTGCGGTGATGCAGGTCGCGCTTGATCTTGCCTGCTGCTGCGTCTGCCTCACGAGGCCTCATAGGAGAGTGGCCTCCTCTGGTCTTTGACTGGCTGTGAAGGATTATTAAACTTGCTTATCTGTATCTTACTATTACCAATAAGTGAATCCTACTGTTTGTAGTTTGGAAACTTTCAATATTGTCTCTATCTTTGAGGAAAATATCAATCTTTTTCAACATGAGTTTGCTTTCTAGATATTATATTTGCTTGCAATTTAACCCTTCTAACCTCCTGTATATCTGTGTATTGAATTGTATTGCTATTGGATGTTCAAATAGCTAATGTTGAAATAACAGTTGTTTTTCAGCAAATGTTGCAGTTTTCAAGGCCTCTGACAGTCTGACCATTTGTAATGTGGATCATGTGAGAGCATTTTGGCTGAAGTTCATTTTCACTGTGAAGCCTTCTTGACCTTTTAAACTTTGTGCTGTTAGGTTCACAGTCTTTAAGGTGGTGTTGTCCTCTTTATGATTGGATTGTAGATGGTAGATGTGGTCTGACTGGCCGCGTCCTCAGCATTGGAAACACGCTGACGTCAGTGGAGGTGGGCTTGGGCCTGTGATGCATCAGGTTGGAACGCCTCCTGTATCACTGCTTGTTTGTGGCCCTCCCTCTCTTTCTCATAGTCAGATTCTGCTGGGTCCATTTTGAAGCTGCTCTCTCGCCTTCGTCCAGCATGAAACTTCACAGCTGTCATCTTGTCCATTGTAGCTCTGTCTCGCTGTCGTCATGTCTCATGGTTTGTTGTGCTCTGTAGGTGCTTTGGTCAGTAGCCAGACTGTTGCCTTTCTGCCATCAACTTTAACTTTTCACTTTGTTTGGGAGTTGTTGTTCTTTCTATTCAAATCTAGCTCTCGTCTCTTCCCTATCTAATATAGCCTTTCTTTTTCCATTTCTCCTTTTTTATCCCAACTTGACCCTTTAAAGACCCTAATTCTTTTTTTCTTCTTCTTCTGCCTGTACAGGCGCTTAAATGCACTTATATCTTTGTTCCACTTGCTGTGTACGTTTCTTCATCTGGGGGCATATCTATTTAGACCTTATCTAACATCATTATTCCGTCTCTGTGATGACTATTCCCTCACTAAAGGCTATATTGAATGTCAGTACTATCTACCTGTTGGTCAAACAGTTTCTCCTTATTTTTCCTTTATTCCAAGCTTTCTCTATCTCTTATCTGATGTCTTTTCTTTTATCTTTAACTACTTAATTGTGCTGTTACTACATATGTTGCTGCCACAGCTCCCTCCTTTGACCACCTTTGCGGTTAATCTCTCTTTTTTGTGCTCTTTACCATTTAATTTCAGCTGCTGTGTGCCTCCCAGGACAGCCATCGCACACTCACTGCGAGCAAACACTTACT